TGTCATCCTGGCCTCCAGAGATTGTTTCTGAACCTCCGACAACGACCCTTGAATGTGAAATGAAAACACTTTCCCAGCCAAAGAAGCGTCGAGTGAGACGGGAGGCGGGGCTGGGAGGGCTGCTCCGCTTAGGACACCGCTGTTTTCCCCCCAGATGGATCGTGCTGTCCCGTTATCGGCTCCCGAAGCCGCTGGCGGTGGATGCGTCTCCGCTTTCGTCCCAGGAGCTTTCGCTCAGGATCAGATCACCTTTCAGCCAGGAGCCCGGGATGGCCCGCCTGGGAGACTGCCAGCAGGACGGGACCCTCCGCAAGTCCCAGTGTCCCCACTGCTAACGGCAGGGTGCCTCGGGGTCCGGAAAGCGAGTTTTGTCCGATGTCCGGTGTTGGGAGGGGGACCGCGTCTGCCTGGGGTTCACCAGGTCGCAGGCGCCGTTCCCGGGGCACTTCCTCTTGCCCAGCCTCGCCACAGCGGAGGGGTGGGGGCTGGGGGGGGAAAGAGGGGGCCAGGGTGGGGCCGAGGCAGCACTGTTGCCCCTCTTACAGCAGCAGGAAGTCATCAAACACAGATCTGAACCAAGCACAGCTCACCCCTAACCACGCTGTCCCCCCTGCCTTGTCCCATGGGCCCGACTCCCCCACCAGAGTTCAGAGAGCTGGAGGATCTGTTCACTCTCCCCAGACCTAAAAGACAGCCCTCCAGGAACCTTTCTAACAGGTGCAGCCTCAGGGCCGCGGGCTGGTTCTCCATTCTTGTGGTTGGTGGCGGCGGAGCAGGGGTTGGGAGGTTGGGTCGCACAGGTCACTTGGGCCCCACACTAGCTGTGGGTGGGACAGGCTCCGTCTGCTCTCTGCTCCTCGCCCGGATCCTAGGAGGTATTTCCTCCTGTTCTCCCGCGGAAGCGTCACAAGTGCCCAGACCAGACACTGCAGGGCCGGCCGTGTGGCCCCTGGTGTGCGGCCCCTGCCCGCACCTTCGAAGGGCATCCTCCAGTCTCCGCTGCCGTCAGTCACTCTGCCCTCTCCTCGGGCCCCACCCTCCTGTCGCCCTCGCAGGGGACCGCTGTGAGGACATCAGGCCACAGGGACAGGCCAGGACTTTCCACGTAATCCCATCTGTGAAGCCCTTTCTCACAGAAGGTAGCGAGCGTGGGTCCCGGACTGGGACCTGGTCCCGCAGGGGAGCTGTCACTCAGCTGCCACCCTGTGACCACCCCTGTGACGGGTTGCCTGGCAAATCCCTGTGCTGAAACCCTGGCCCCCGATGCTCTGCCCCCCTGCAGGCTCTCCTGCCCATTTCATGCTCGGGTTGTGCTGGACATGTATGGGGGCCTCGCCACCCA